TAGTGGTGATGGCGGTCATCCACGACAGGCCGAAGAAACGCACCCCCATTCCTTTGATTCGTGTGGTGATGGATGACGAGGACAAGACGGTGCTATTTGGTGTGTTTTACACCCATGATGGGAGGTGGATGACTGTAATTCATGGTGGCGGTAGACAAATACTTTCAACAGGGTGGGACCCAGAAAAACCGTGTCAGGTGGTGCTGCGACACGACACGGGCCATTGGGATTTATACGTTAGCGCGAGGGTGGCTTACTTTGGCACCTACAAGGGGTCTCTTCTCCAAACAAACAGTATTTCACACATCCAATTCCACGGGGAGAGTGGGGAAGTTGCAGAGTCCAGCCATTTGTCACTCTTCAACGCCCGTTTCTATAACCGAAGACTCAATTCCAAGCATCTAAGATGGCTCATGGTCGGCGAGGCAGGCCCAAAATACGATGATGGCAGCTCTTATTCTGCGAGTGCGTCGGAGGAAGGAAGCAGAGGCGACAGCTCCATGCCCGCGGGTACGTCTGAAGGAGAAAGCATAGGTGACAGCTCCATGCCCGCGGGTACGTCTGAAGGAGGAAGCAGAGGCGACAGCTCCATGCCCGCGGGTACGTCTGAAGGAGGAAGCAGAGGCGACAGCTCCATGCCCGCGGGTACGTCTGAAGGAGGAAGCATAGGTGACATCTCCATGCCCGCGGGTACGTCTGAAGGAGAAAGCATAGGTGACAGCTCCATGCCTGCGGGTACGTCTGAAGGAGGAAGCAGAGGTGACAGCTCCATGCCCGCGGGTACGTCTGAAGGAGGAAGCAGAGGCGACAGCTCCATGCCCGCGGGTACGTCTGAAGGAGAAAGCATAGGTGACAGCTCCATGCCCGCGGGTACGTCTGAAGGAGGAAGCATAGGTGACAGCTCCATGCCCGCGGGTACGTCTGAAGGAGGAAGCATAGGTGACAGCTCCATGCCCGCGGGTACGTCTGAAGGAGGAAGCAGAGGCGACAGCTCCATGCCCGCGGGTACGTCTGAAGGAGGAAGCAGAGGCGACAGCTCCATGCCCGCGGGTACGTCTGAAGGAGAAAGCATAGGTGACAGCTCCATGCCCGCGGGTACGTCTGAAGGAGGAAGCATAGGTGACAGCTCCATGCCCGCGGGTACGTCTGAAGGAGGAAGCAGAGGTGACAGCTCCATGCCCGCGGGTACGTCTGAAGGAGGAAGCAGAGGTGACAGCTCCATGCCCGCGGGTACGTCTGAAGGAGAAAGCAGAGGTGACAGCTCCATGCCCGCGGGTACGTCTGAAGGAGGAAGCAGAGGCGACAGCTCCATGCCCGCGGGTACGTCTGAAGGAGAAAGCATAGGTGACAGCTCCATGCCCGCGGGTACGTCTGAAGGAGGAAGCAGAGGCGACAGCTCCATGCCCGCGGGTACGTCTGAAGGAGGAAGCAGAGGCGACAGCTCCATGCCCGCGGGTACGTCTGAAGGAGGAAGCATAGGTGACATCTCCATGCCCGCGGGTACGTCTGAAGGAGGAAGCATAGGTGACATCTCCATGCCTGCGGGTACGTCTGAAGGAGGAAGCATAGGTGACATCTCCATGCCCGCGGGTACGTCTGAAGGAGGAAGCAGAGGTGACAGCTCCATGCCCGCGGGTACGTCTGAAGGAGGAAGCATAGGCGACAGCTCCATGCCCGCGGGTACGTCTGAAGGAGAAAGCATAGGTGACAGCTCCATGCCCGCGGGTACGTCTGAAGGAGGAAGCATAGGCGACAGCTCCATGCCCGCGGGTACGTCTGAAGGAGGAAGCAGAGGCGACAGCTCCAATTCTGAAAGTTCATCGCGGAAGGAAAGTGAGGAGGTGAGCTTTGTGCATGAGAATGTGTCATGGGTGCTGTTACTTCTGCTGGGGCTTTGGGGTTTTGCGGCTCTTTACTGATATTGAAACGGCGTTGTTGCTGTCTCCAGCGGTACAGCGTATATTTACATGCTGATGCTTTTTGCGCATTTTATTGCTGTTCTTGGCGTGTTGATAAATTTTTTATTTTATTTTTGATCTTTTATTTTTGTATGTATGACTTTATATTAATTTAATTTATTATCATTATTATTTTTTTTTTTTGTACACCTTTTATATTTGTTATTATTATTTATTATTATTATTATTATTTTTGTGTTGATGTGTTTTTAATGCCTTTAATAATAATAAATAATAAATAATAAATAATAATTAGGTTTTACTGACTGATGCCGTCCAGAATTTATGATAGATGTTGTATGCGATCTGCATAACGCTGTGGATGAATGTCGAGGGGACAAACTTAAGAAAAAAAAAAAAAAAATAGGGCAGGTGGGTCGAGTGGTGCATGATGTTATGTAGTGAAATATAAATGAGGCGTGTTCATTATTGTGAAGGGGAGAGGGGGGGAATTGAAAACGACTTAAACTAATATATACGTACGTGTGTGTGTGTGTATGTATGCTCTCTCTCTCTCTCTGTGTGTGTGTGTGTATGCTCTCTCTCTCTCTGTGTGTGTGTGTGTGTATGCTCTCTCTCTCTCTGTGTGTGTGTATGCTCTCTCTCTCTCTCTCTGTGTGTGTTTATTTATTTATATGTGTCTTTATTCAGGCATAATACGAAGGTACTGCTGTGGGATATTGTATGGAAGATATTACATGACATTTGTTTTGTATTTATTGATTGTTTTTTTTTGTAAAATAATAATCATAAAAGTAATAATGATACCTATTATTATTACTATCATTATTATCCAATTTTTTACATTTAACGATCTGCGTGAAAATTGCGCTGAGTGCGAAGTTTTTTTTTTTTTTTTTTTTTTCTTTTCTTCCGTACTTTTTTCTTTATTTGTCTGCTGCTTGCGTTGTGCCATATACATCCATATATATATCTTTATATATTTTGAAATTTTTTTTTTTTTTTTTTTTTTGACCTCTACGGTATTTATGTGCATATTTGCTTCTTGGCATGGCCGCCTTTTCTTTTTTTTTGCCTTCACGTCCCTGCAGTCGTACAACTGCCCTCGCACGACACGTATAACGTTTTATTTTACGTGGATGGTCCTAACCTGCCGGCAATTGCATGTGGTTGCTGCGTTCTTCTGTGGCTGCGAAAGGGGAGCAATGAGAGGGCGGTGTGCATGAACTCATGGGACATGGCGTGACGCCGTTGGAGGGCCCCGTGAGGCGTCCGCGGTTTTACGGGGGAAGAAGAAAATTAACCCGCTGGAATAGCTGCCGCCGAGCCCGTTCTTGCTGGACGAGTTGAAGCGCGAGTACAGACACACGGACACCCGCACGGTTGCTGCGCCGTACTTCTTCCAGCACTGCGATGCCGCCGGCTGCAAGACTTTGCGGTGCCGCCACAAATACAAGGAGGAGAACAACATGCAGCGCATGGAGCACGTGTGTGTGTTGCGTGGCGGTGGCATGCCGTAGGCTATGGAAGAAGTGGATGACACGGAGCTGTTGGACTGCGGGAGGAGGTGGCGGACGCAGCGGGAGAGGATGACGGGCTACGCGTGCTGCAGGTGTGCGCGGCATGCCGGTGAGTTTTTCTAAAGAGGGAGTAGTAACGCTGACGGTAATAGTGACTATGAGGGTGTGAGGAAGGAGGCAATCGATCAGCACTCCTTTCATTGTTGTTGTTTTGGTGCGTGACTCTCATTGCTGGATGGGACGGTGCGTTGGCTGTGTGACTTGTCTCTCTTCTCTCTCACCTTTTGCTTTCACTCTGCGTTGACGGGGAGTTAGTTTGTGCTGAAGGCTGCACGCAAGTGACAGGAGTGATGGCGATGATGATGACTGGCCGTGTGCTGCTGGTGGTGTGTGCCCTCTGCGTGCTGTGGTGCGGTGCTGCAATGGTGATGGCGGAGGCCAATGTCGATAAAAGTACCGAAATGAAAAAAGATGAATCATTTGAAAGTTCAGAGCTTGTTGCTGGTATTGTTAGTGCTGAACAACATGTAACGCAGGATTCAGTCAGGGAAGTTTCCGAAAACGGTAAGCAGTCTTTGGGTGCACAAACGGGAAATGGCATCAACCAGGATAATGGTGGGATCATAGCATCACCAGCAAGCACAGTGAGAGGGGAAGAAGAAGAAGAAGAAGGGGAAACCGAAGAAATTGAGGAACTCACAAGTTCAATTGAAGGCGAAGAAACATCCCAATTAACATTGACGCAAGAAGGAGTACCACCACCATCGGAACCATTAACAACGACACTGAATGGAAACCCAGCAGGAACTTTAAATGCAACACCAGCGAAAGGACAGTCCAGCTCTGATGACGGCTCCGCCCAGGAAGAAGGACTCAAATCACCAACACTAAAAGCACCTGCAGCACCTGCAGCACCTGCAGCAGCGGCAGAGGCAACAACAACACAAACAAAAGATGAAAACCCCTTCCTTGCAGATGACCCTTTAGTGCAACATGTAGAAGCATCTCAACACGACATGGAGTCAAGAAGTGCCTCACGAAAAGAAGGATCCATCCCCACCACAGTCACCAAAACAGACGGACCAACAGAAGTTAACGCCGAATCAACTCCAACATCACCCTCAGCTTCCAAAGGTGCCATTACAAATGACGCTGACGAAGGAAATGAAGAAGGCATTCCAAAACATGATCAAGCACCTGATGGTGAAGCGACGAAAGAAGCACAACAAGGTGAAAATAAAGAAGAAAATGCAAATAAAACAGCAACTCTCGAAGCCGCAGCTATAACAAATGATACTGCGACTATTGGCGACAGTGACGGCAGCACTGCTGTCTCCCACTCCACCTCCCCTCTTTTGCTACTTCTTGTCGTTGCGTGTGCTTCTGCGGCTGCGGTGGTGGCCGCGTGAGAGTGAGTGAGAGAGCCGTGCACCGCCCGCACACACACTCGTCTTTCACTCACTCTCTGTGTGTGTCCCCTTGCATGGACTCTCGCCCTCACCTCATCCCACGAGGCACACACATAATGTGCCCATTGTATATACTGCATGCACACCCATGCAGGCCCGTTGGTGCTCTCTTTTGCACGACACGCACCGCTGCCGTCCTGCCTGGCTGCATGGGCGGAGCACCGTAACTGTTTCTGTTTTGTTTTTATTGCATTGAGTGGGCGACCTCTCACTCACTCTCTCTCTCTCTCTCTGTGTGTGTGTGTTTTGCTTTAAGGGAGCAAAGAGAGTGTGTGCGCTGGTCGCCCCATGCTTCGGCTTCCCGTCACGTGTGTGTTTTGAATCTCTGTTTGTGTTGTGGTTGAATGGGCGTATTTTCATTAACCATCATTTGTTTTCTTGTGTAGTGACGTTTGCGTTTCATTTTTCTTTTCAACCAATCAGTCTTTGTTGCCTCAGCAAGCCAGGAAATACCTTTCCAACAGTCACGCCGATGGTTCAGTGGCTCCTCGCCTCACCGTGCCCTGCAGCGCTGCCATTGCTGCTCATGATGTTGACTTTGATGTGTTGTTCCAGCGGGTGCTTTGCTGCCAGCCTGACGTACCATTGCACCTTTGACAAAGCGATGCGTGTCGACAGTACGAAGTTGATGCCGGTGGTGATGAAAAACGTGCCTTTGGGAACGGGAAGTACGTCGCAGACATACACCGTCATCGGGAGTAATGGATGGGCACCCATGCGTATCAATGTGTCCACAAATGACCTCTATAATAACAGGATGTATTGCAGCTCAGATCGTTCTTATGTGAGAAATTTATTGAAAGGCTATCCCGAGTGTCAGGGCAATGCTCTTTCCAGTAATAAGAGGAAAATCCTCATCGACAAGGTTGTCCCTGCAGCTGTCAAACTGCATGCGGATCGTCTGCTCGTCCAGCCACTGGAGGGTCCGTTGATTGTGCCCCAATTTGCCGCGGGCAGTTTTTGCAGTCGTTTCACTGTGCCTGATGAGCATCGTTCCACTGGTGTTGTCAATTCTGACATGGTGCTGTACGTGGCTGCGGCGCCTGGTGGTGTGTGGGCACTGCCGTGCGCCACGCTGGAGGATGGCCGTCCAGTCGTTGGCGTCATGAACATTGCCCCGGCCGTTTTATTTTGCGGAGGCATCGCCACCCGCATCGCCGCGCACCTGTTGGCCCATGCTTTCGGGTTCACCTACCCGCACATGGCCAGCCGCAGCATGGTGAGGAATGTTACCGGTGTGCGTGGCGGGCGCTGTCGGTGGTGGTGAACTCGACGAATGCCGCGATAGCTGCGAGGGAGCACTACGACTGCGATGACATTTATGGCATGGAGCTACAAGATCAAAATGGGGACGGGAGGACGCTGGAGTCGCACTGGTCACAGCACCACGCGAAGGATGAGTGGATGGCACCGATTGGAGGTGCCGGCTACTACACGGAGCTGACGCTGGCTGCATTTGCTGACCTGGGCTACTTCAAGGTGAACTGGAGGATGGCGGAGCCGATGGGTTGGGGCAAGAAGTCGGGCTGTGAGCTGCTGCAGAAGAGGTGCTCCGAACTGAACCTGAGTAAATATTCCCACATGTTCTGCAACATAAACGATGGTGTCAAACGCTGCGCGTCGGATCGGTATTCCCATGGTTGGTGTTGGCGGAGTATCGTTGAATTGTCAAAAAAGCACTCAATGGACAGTTGCCCCATCACTGATCCCGCACTGGACGTGAGGGATATTGAGGGTGTTATTTGGAGGGAAGAATATTTGTCTGCGATGCCCGGGGATGAGCCCTCTTCGTGGTGTCTGGACACGCTTCCCACCAACACGACAGATGCGAGGTACCCGGAGTATACGTATCTGAGTGCTGCCATGCATGCGGAACTGAAGTGTCTTGGCATGCAAGTGTATCTGAAAGTTTCCGAAAAGCGTAACGTCGATTGGACTCCATGCGCGGGCGGGGCGACGATTACGTGGGACACACCACCCTACGATAATGAAAGCGTCATTTGCCCTAACTACGCGGAGTTGTGCACAATATCCGCCACCGGCGGCAGTGTACTTCCCGCGTTTCGGTGGGACGGCAAAAGAGAGGGTGTGGAGCAGGACGGTACGCCCGGAATTCTTGAAACAAAGTTCACCAGAGACGCCCGTCCCTGTTGCAGAGAGTATTGGATCCGGCCGTGGCACCGAATCGCAGGATGTTGACTCAGCTGCTCTTCAGTCGAAGCCATTGCCACAGGGAGACGCCGAGGCTGCCGTGGCGCAACACGACCACCAAGCGGGAAACAATACCAGCACTCCAACAGGCAGTGAGAGGGAAGCAGCACCAGCCATCTCTGGCGAAAACAACAATTCGCCTACGGCCGCTGTTGCAGGAGCAGGTGAATTTGGGACAACGCACAGCGAGGATTTTTTCACTACGGAAGTGGAAAGCTCGATGGGGGAGGAAGAACAATCCGCGCCGGAGGAGGGAGCAAACCCAGCAACCCTGCAGCCAAGGGAGACCGCTGGAGATGGGGATGCGCAGCCAGTACAAGAAAGCATGGCGCCTCTGGCTGGAAGTGAGGGATTTCTGCCCAAACAAAGCGAGGCTCCTGTTTCAGAAAATAACCACTCCGAATCCGGGAGCGGCGCGAGCCAAGAGGACCGCCTCGCCCTGCTCAACGACGCGAAATTGATACTGCGTGATTTGAATGTCGACAGCACTGCGCGTGTGTGCGTGTCTCGGGTGTCGATGCTTCTTCTTCTGGGACTGTGTGGAGCTCTGGCGGTCTTGTGAGGCAACGAGTGTTGAATTGCGACTCCTCACGGAGAATAAATGCCGCTTTTCTTGCGGTTTTTGATTTTTTCTTTAATGTTTTTTTTCTTTTTAAAAATTTTTTCCACTTTTTCAGTTTTTCTTGGTGTTTTTTCGAATACTCAGTTTTTTTTTTTTTATGGCCGTTTGCTACAATCCGTTATGAGTGACGTGTTTCTGACTTTTGTTTCCCTTTTTTTGGCCACTCGCGGTGCCGGCGTCACTGCTGCGCGTCCGGCGGACTGCAGAAAACGAGGAGTGGAGGAGCAGGCCGGATGCCGCATGGAATATAAGGGATTTTGTGTGGGCTGGTGGGAGAGTATAACTTCTTTTTTTTTTGTTTTTCGTTTGTGCAGGGAATATGCATACGCCCCCGATCGTCCTGTGTTGCATGGCACATGAAAGTCCTGCCGAATCAATTTTTCTTTTGGTTTTGTTTCCCAGGATTAATGACGGACTCTCACCCTTTTTTTCGTTTTGATTTCTTAAATCCCTGCGGCTTCTTTCCGTTTTTGCCGTGTCTACTGTCACTGAGTGCTTCCGTTTTATGTTTATTACCGCTGTCTGTGCTGCTGGCATGTCTCCATTTCTTTTCTTTCTTTTCTGCTAGAGGCATCGATGGTCCGCGACGACGATGGTTTGTGCTCCCCTCTGCGATGGCACGGGGGTGACTGGGCGCCGGCCTGCTGAGTGCACTCGGAGAGGAGCGGATGGTGTGCGCCGTGCCTCACTGTGAGTGTGGAACACTAATCCGTCGGGGAGAAGTAAAGGGCTGCGGTATGTACTTGGATTCGCTTATTCCCTCTTGTCGCGGTTGTGTGTGTGCTGCGCGCATTGCTTTTTGTTGCGGTGCGACGTGGGAGGCGTGGCTTCTGCGTGTTTCTTCTTGCATGCGCTGAGCGGCGGACTTCTCTTCCCCATGACACCGC